ATTCGGTTCTTACGTCATGTTTAGTTTTTTCCGGAAACTTTAAACACTAGATTTAAACTTTAATAAATACAGAAATACCGAAGTTCTTTTCAAATGATTGTGACTGTTTGAAATTGACAGCATTTTTAATCAACTAGACCTAATGTGCCCTGGTTGTTGAATTTTTTTACAGCTTTACAGATGACAACTGCTAATTGATGAAGGATTCAGGGACTGAATCATGTTAATCTGAAGGTCAACATTGATTTAATGAATGCACTGATCATGTTGCTTTACACTATCCTGACCAGAAACATGGAATTCATAGGCATTGCCAAATTTTTCTGGGTGTGGGGTGTGCAAACTGCAAAGGACTCATCAGTTAAAACTAAACAACTGGAAGGGTAAATTTCAAGGGTTTTATTTTTTTCACGTAAATTGGTCATTTTCATCCCATTTCATCTTCATGTCTTTTTTCTTAGTTTCCAAGTTCTTTTCAGGAGGGCAAGAACCCCCTACGACACCCATGATGAGATTTGAAAGGGTGTGTGTGACCAGATAGGTGTCACCAGAGGCAACCGATATGAATGTTTAACCAAATAGTTTTCAGTACTGTACTTTTCATGTCTTCTCTGAGTTCTCATCATAATTTTTGTAATCCATATGTACATCAATTTTCCCATAGACATTTTGCAGCATTTGAAGAACCTTATGTTGGATTTGGTCCACTTGCTCTGGTGGGCAATAATCATCGTGGGAAGATCTGCCAAATAAAATAAATTATCGATGAAATCAGAAAATAGAAATAAAAATCATTCTAATTTGATAATTTAGTCCATGAATGAAATGTGTTACCTAGCAACTGTCACCATCACTGGCCTGGGTAACCACGACAACAGTGTCTGCATGGTAGCCACAAGGCTATCAATTTCCTCCTCACTGCTGACATGATGAGGTAGCTCACCATTGTCATCACATGTCAGGCCTGCCATGTGGATCATCTCTGCATCTAGGGCTTTATCATTGTTGCTAGCCACTCGTAGTGACTCCACAAGAGATTGCACTTTTTGGAACCTATGGGAAAACAACATTTTCAAAATAATGTAGACATCTCCCTGGTAATTAACTGCTTGCTGTGTTGAAGCATACTGAATTTGGTCAGTAATACAAATTCCTAGTTGGTTCCAAAAAGAAAGATTTTCTGAAGTCTTACCTTTCCAGACACACTGAGTCAACTTTTTCTTGATACCCAACAACTGACTTGAGCGCAGTTTCCAACTGACTGAGCTGGTCAGCTCTCTTCAACATGCATTCTGTCAGGGCTGCTTGGCTGTTGTCAACAGGTCCATCAAAACGATACAAATGCTCCAGCAGATGAAATTGGGACTGCAACACAGTGGCAAAGGGAAAATGACTTGGAATCTTTTGTACAGTAGGATCTTTTGAACTTGGGCTGAACTGGCAAACATTTTTTTGTGGAAATGAGGAAAGATCTTTTCCAATATCATAAAACCACAATGAAAAAAGCAAGTTGTAGACAATTCTTAAGAAGTTCTTAAGAGCACTCTGAGGTGATCTAGGATTAGAAGATATTTTCATGACAAAGACAATCTTTTTCCACTTCCATTTATCCTCACCTCTGAATAAATATCCTTGAAAGGGTTCCTTGTTGAGAAGAAATCTAGATCAATGTCCAACACAGTTCCAGCACTTTTCTCCAGGGCTGCATTTGTGATATTGTAAATTTCACTTAGATATCCTGATGGAGAAGCCTGATGTGTCACCCAGCTCCGCTTCCTTTTGGTCTTGTTTGACACTTCTTCACTGTTTCCACCTGTAGGTTCTGTGATACAGTTCTTGCACTTTTGTTCTTTAATCTGTAATGAGGTATCTTCAGATTGACTTTTTACCGGGGTATCATTAACGGATGACATCTGACCACAACTTGAGCACTTACTCAATGGACACTGACCTTTTACCTGAGGAACCTGACTGTCTGTAGTGACTCTGGAAAAGTCAACTGGATATTTTGTTCTTTTATTTGTTACATCACTGATATGGCTCGGATCACCTAAGATTGATGTTTTTGGATCTGTTGGTAGCAGGTCTGTTCCCATGGTAACCACATCCACTTGTAGTTTCTTAGTATGTTCCAAGTCTTCTTCAGGAGCATACAGAAGATCACTCAAGAAGTAACTGTCGGGCCAGTTGATCCTGTTCCATAACAGAACATGATGATCAGTGCCACTTGAAATTACGATATACATCTATCATGACAGTTAATCAATTCTAAACAGAGGTTAATTTTAACACACAGTTAACCAACTTAGCAAAGGGGTACCTTTGTTGGAGTTTGTTTAAAAAGCTTATAACTTTCTTTGAGACTAAATGACAGTGCTGACTTGAATATTGTGGAAAAGCTTCAGACAGTTGTTGACAGGTTTACAAACAGGAATCCAAAGAAAGTAGCTTGCTAGTTTGCTCTGGGAAATTTGAACAACCCAAGTTTATAATGCAAAGTGCACATACCTGAGTTTCTTTGACTTGCAATGCTTCCCAATGGAAACTTCTCTGCTGCTCTCAGGCAACTGGTCTGACCAGGGTGGCTTGATCCACACCACATGATGGACATGTCCAGCGTAAACAGCAGGTAGGATCCAGTTCTCAATGCTAAGGGAACTGTTTCAACACAAGCCAGAGACACTGCAAAAATTAGGTTTGTTTTATATTATTAAAGCACAATTTGAAAATCAGTACTTACACAATTCCAATGCAAATCACATTCTACATCCATGTTTAGGTGTTTACATCGCAATAAATCTGTTCTCGCACTTTGGAAACTTTACTTCAGTTTAACTCTTTGACCTATTGATAAAAGGCAAACAGTTCAAGATAAAGTTTGAGAAATGTCTCTGATTTTCTTATAGGCCTAAAGCATGGTTCAATGAATCTTTTTATGCCCCAACAATAGAAACAGAATCATTTCCACTTGGAAGACCCCAACTATAGCTGGACAATTTCAAATTATTGTGCTAAAGTTGAACCAACTATTCAGTACCACTGTACCTTGGACCACTTCTACTGCACTGCTGTAACACTACCATTCTTACCAACAAAATACATGTCAGTATACCTGAATAATTCAAACTTATCAAAAACCGTATCAGCATCCATCTCAGTTGCTATCTGTAAGTCTGGGTGGGAATCAAAGTGAAGCATGGCAATTCCTTGGAAGGGTAGATGGCGTGAAGCAATGGCCCGGTAGATGTAAGGAAGAACCTGAAACCACAAAAAATGTAATAAACCCCGAACACGTAATTCGTAACATCTGTGAAACTGTCAACCTTCCCTCCCTGCATTATCTTAGGCCTAGGCCCCCCATCCCCACATCATGATCATTACATGACGAAGCCCTGGCCGCCTTGTATGAACCCCGCCCCTCATGTCTCCTGTTAATTTCTCATGGTCCTCACCACTCAAAATGTCAGAAACACAAGTCAACGAAACATTTTCGAGTAATCCAGCATGTTATGTTCTTACATCATTGTGATCCTCTACAACCCAGACGGGAAGTTCACTAAAACGTCTGGGCTTCAGGTTCCTCGAGAAATTCTCAGCCATTTGCAGAACACACGTACAGCATGCATAGCACTGCAAGCAAACGAACATGCATCATCAGCGCTGCAGCAGCGCGCGAATCGACCTAGGCCCAACCTTTCATTCTGGGGGTGGGTGTAATCGGGAATTGAGAAAATGTACGATTTTTGAAACATTTTTAATTAATAAAATTGTGGAGATAAAAATAAAAACAGTTATGTTCACACATTTTCTTTACTACTTTTACAAATTTTCCTTATTAAATATATGAAGATCTGAACATATAGGTGGTCCACCTTCTGATTGATAGTGGAACGGTCCTTTAACTTCAACATGGCGGGCCAGCAACATGTGTCTTGTGGTCGAGACTTGCATTGTGTCCCTGACATATCGTCTTCCACGCAATTGGCTTCGGTTGCAGGGTATGGTTAAGATTTACATTTTATTGTGAATCTTCAAAATAATATTTTCATGCTCATTTTGAGCGATTACGAAGAGTTGAAGCGTACTTTTACTGTTACCGTGAGAGCCCAAATTGATTGACATGTTTGGGATGCTCTCTTTACCGGACCGTGTCTATTTCCGACACTAATGGGGACGCTTGGCATTTCACCTAAAAACATGAAGGCCTAACTTAAAATCGTTTGTTGGGCCTACTTCCTGAACAGTAAGGCACAGCTCCAAAGTAGTGCCTTACTGTTCAGGAAGTAGCCGAGGTTAAATCCATCATGATAATTTTCGTGGTGTTTTATCCATTTATGCCTCATCCATGTGACCTCTGACACTGCATGAGTGATTTTGCACTATGGTTGGAAGACAGTGTGGGATGGAAAATCGGGCAATGTTTACTCCTTTTTCCTTCCCACAGTGTCTTTCTACCATTGTGCAATATCACCCATGATGCAGTACTATTAGCAGTGTTGAGCGCAATCTCTGAAAATACACAAATTTAAAAAGGTCCTATTAAATTTTGCACAACCACAGATATTGCCGTGATTGCCATTAAAATTGCTCCCAGCAATTGAAATTTTGTGAATATGAGCCACAGGCAACAGTCGTACATAAGAAACTGACATCAGCTTCTGCACAATTTTGTTGGGTCTGTTTGGTGCATGATGTGTTGCGTGTACAGTGTGCCATGGTACGTCACGCCGGCCACCTGGCTGCCCGCCGGCCGGCCGCCTGCAAGAAATTTCACCGCTCGAGCATTTTGACGAATATTGCCATGTGAGGGCAGTTAAATTCTCCTCTCAACATTTCATTTTGACTTTTTTCCCTCTGAAAAAAATTCCTCACAAGAGCTATTTTTAAATTCCCATGTAGACATTTAATTTGGAAAATTCTCAGAGCCATACATGAATTGGAAATATATCTGCAATAAAATAAAATGTGGGATCCCAGACAAAATCAGTAATAATCAGAGAAAATAAGGATTTTGAAATGACCCCCCAAAACTACTGGTTTGTATGGGAATCCTAGCCTTTACCCCCAGCTTGACTGATGCCAGATAGTTGAAGACTTCAAAGGGAATAGAAAATCCCAGCGCTGCCGGTTGCCTGCCTGCCTGCCGCAGCCGGGCCTGGTCGAACGCCAAACATCGTGACTCCCTTTAAAATCACACTGTTCGAGGCACAAAAATTGCGCACGTTCAAAGATTGCGCTCAGATTTCAAATATGCGGAATGTACTATAAATTAAGCAAGGAAAATTGTGCAAGTTGTGCAAATTTGAAATTTGTGGTGCACTTTCAAAGGTTGCGCTGAACAGCAATGAGGCATATTACTTGTTTTGCGTGATCGGTTGATAAGCATGATTAGGCACATCACATTGTATATTTGCCTTGGTCATGTCCTTCCATCCAGTGAAATCTACACTCATGCTGACTTTACTTCCCTTTTTTGAAAAAAATCTTCCGAACCCGCGAGGTAACATTATAGTTGTAAAGAAAAGGTAATATGCCATTTGCGAGTTAAACTTGAATAAAATCTGGTTCACTGAGTTATCTGACTGCACATAAACATAACGATTTTAATTCCCCAGACTAAAGACACTGTTGCTATACCTCGTGATTCAGGGCAAGCTTTTGCATAGCGACCACCATCTCTGGAATGGACTGGTTCCTTTCTGCCCTTCTTATCCACTGAGAACAGTGTATTGTTGCAAGGCGTCCCTTGTGTAACTAAGCAAAAGCTTGCCCCGAATCACAAGGTATAGCAACAGTGGTTTTAGTAAGGGAAGTTCAAGTTGTTACATTCACGTGAATTTAAAGAACTCAGTGTCCAGATTTGGGTCGAAGTTGACTCGAAAAAGGATTATTAGTTGATCATTGATGGTAGAATTATTGGCAAATAGTGCATCAGGCCTACCATACTAAGATTGGCAGATCACAAAGTAATCACTGGTGTGAAGTTGATTACTTTTCATCATTTGACATTCAATGTTGCACAAGTACAGGTAACTGCTAGACATTCAGGATGTCCATCCCTAAAAGAGATGGAATGCAAAAGGGACCCAAAAGGCAAATTGTGCCAACTACATTTTAGGGTTTGTTTGACCCTGAAAACACCCTGCCCTGGGTCGCAAGGAGTCGTCGCTGATTGAGAACAATGGTATCAGATTCAATGTAATCTCCAGGCAGGGCATGGGGTTTGGGTATTTTATTTCGATTTAAGAAATAAAGTGTGGTGTGATGAATTCACTTTCCTACTCTGGTTTCCAAGCGAAGAACTCCACCAGCAAGACTTGTCAAAACCACTTTGATCGCGGAAAACTGCCTTTGGTCTGGTTGAAATGGAGGCAACAGGGTCGCTAAAGTGTTCAGGAGCACTTTGAAAAAAGGACGTTCAGCGCCGGGGGTATATTGACCCTGTTTCTTTGAATGTTTAACAGAAATGCCAAAATGCCTTGCTTACCTTTCCTTCCAGTATCAACACACTCTAGTAACTCACATATGTGCAATGTCAGCGATATTTGCTTCCACTCGTCCTAGTTATGATAAAATATTTTAGTATCTGATATTGTACACATATTGGCAGGTTTGACTTTGCAGCAATGCCTCTAGTTCACCCACGGTTTAAGCGTGAATTCCTGGAAGGTAAAGCCAAGGACAGACAAGGAGCATTTGCTAGGTCGGATCTCTTTCTCTCAAGCCAAGGTATGACGTTACTCATATTTCAGATACCTTAAAGATATTGAATTATCAAATGTGATCACATTATTGTCTTGTATGAGTAAACTAAAGCAAAGCAAATAAACATCATCCTGGCTTCCTTGTAGCATCTTCAGGAGACTGTAATGCTACTTTGGAATAGTGCTGAAGGATAATCATAAAATATTTGTGTGAGTGTTAGTTTTCCCAGAGGATTTGGGTTTGAAGCATTAACTTATTCCGTTTGCTTTGTGTCTACAGATTGGAGTTCTCTTGTTGTAGGCAAGTTGTCACCATGGTTACAACTAGATTCAGATGATGAAATAACTCGCAAGAACTCACAGGCTGCCTTGAAGCAGGAACTGGCTTATGCAGCTCATCTCAGTGTGCCTGCTGTCTTGGTTCCTCTGAGTAACAGCAAATGTGCCAATCTTGGACGCTGTTTGCTAAGCCATATGCAGGGCCACAGCAACCATCAGGTAGGTATCGTTGACCCTTGTTTTACCAGACCCTCAAAACACTTTGGGGTTTGACTTATTACCCTGTTTTCATTCCTCCAAGGAGTACCAAGGTAATCTTCTCAGAAGCAAATGATCATCCAGTTAGTTCCATTTGGAATCTTTGCCCTGAAGAGATGGTGTGCAAACTTTCGCACAAAGTGCAAATCTTCTATGCATTATTCAGTCTCTGTACAAAAAAAAGTTGCTCTTTTTGGTTATTACAACATTAAATACTACAAATCTGAACATCCGGCTTGTACCTTTTGATCAAAAAGGTGTGGATTCAAGTCCCGATGGTTGCTCCATCTCGCCTGACTGATGACCTTGTTGAGAATGACACCAAGCAACAGTCTAGTGGCAGTAACAATGTCATGGAGGACAGTGACATTGTACCAACCAGCCAGGATCCCTGGCATTGGTGGAACACACTACGTAGGGTTTGCCATCACCACAAGAGACTAGGTGTAGGTATGTAGTAAAATCCTAACACTAATGGAATTGTGGCTTTTAACCCTAACCCACCTCAATCCTCCAAAATCCTCTGGTTGGTTTTGGAGGATTGAGGATGAATGGTTAATGAAGTACTAAAAATCGGTCACATAGTAGTGCATACGGTTGCTTAGTATACCGTTGACAATATACATGTACCCAAGGACAGTGTGTTCTATTGTTCACTGCTGCTGGTCATAAATTACACAATCCTGACCTGCAATGTTTTAAAACAAAGGCACGTGTCTGCTTTGTTCATGGCAAAAGTAAAGGTGTTAGTCGACTCTGCCAAAAAAAAACAGTTTCAGCCCAGCAACCAACATGATGTTCCCAAACCCCCCCAAAAAAACCTCCAAAGGGGATCCTACTCGACAAGCACTGCTTCTATGGGATCCCATCCACAACCTTTTCCCTTCTTGTCATAAATTTACTGTATATAATTAGGCGGAAATAAAGAATGAATGAATGAAGTTTGTGCATAATCCCCCAAAATGGAGGATTTTGGAAGGCCTAGTGGTTTAGGGTAGTCTTTAGTTTTTTCAGATGTCTACTTTAAGGTAGTACATGTCGGGATGTACATATTGGACTTCCACACTGACTTTTTATTGCTTACATGTACATGACCAAGCATTTCAGTAGAACAACATATGAAGTTGTGAAATCATTTTAGTTCAATTACTAGACAGCTAAATGATTCCATTACCTCATTCAAAATTTGTCCATTGTCGATCACAGACGACTTTGGTTTGGCCAAAGCAGACCACCTGTTAGAACAGCATAGAATTTCACTGGTTTTGATTGGTTCCCGGCTTGTTCATGTATAGCACTTCATTATCTTCACCTTACAACTCGAGGAGACTGGATTCAATTTGTAATGTCTCATTATGGTGTATTTGTCTTTGACTTCAGCTCTGGAGATTTCTGCAGATCTACCTGCCCAGTCTGTTATCAATCGATGGCTCGGTGAACCACTGAAGTGTGCTATATTCTCAACTACGCTGTTCTTGACCAACAAGAAAGGTTATCCAGTGCTCTCCAAGGCCCACCAACAACTAGCCCATAAGTTATTCAGAGTAGGTACCTTGATATATGGATTACCGTGTCTTCAAAACAGGATGTGTTTGTGCAACTTGGATTATGTATTTAAGTTAATCAACAGGTGTAAAATTTATGTAGAAGATTTTGAGTTACTCAGCTGATGTCACAGATCTCATGTTATGGAAGCCCTATACAACGTATAAGTCGTTGGGCCATGTACATGTAAATCTTTAGTGAAAATGCAAACAAATGGTGATATTTTGCACCTATTTTGGTCAGGCATGACCACTCTCCTGTGTGTATCAGTTGATACTGACTATATGTCCGTAGATGGATGTCAGGTAATCAGGCTTGGACAGTCTTTTTGACGGTCCCATATTCAGTCAATAGAATAAAGTTGCCATGATTTATTGCATCATGTCATTTTTCTCCAGCTTGACGTACAGATGATGATTACAGGTATCAATCGTCATCCAGACAAAGGTATAAGAGCCTACCAACAGTACATGGACCATCTCTTCCAGAATCAACAACCTCTGACAGGTGTGGAAGCCTTTGCCAAGGGATATGAAGACTATCTACAGTGCCCATTGCAGGTATGCCTTAAACATCAAAAATACTTCAAAGCAGTGGAGATATCCTAGGCATCCAGAATGCAAAGGCTTACATCCTGCCTCCACATCCCCCACCAATCCAGCTAGCCCGACCTACTGCACATGTGGAAAAAACACATGCTTCTCTCCACTGCTACATGCAGAGATGCCAACTTGTACGATTTAGGCGTAATTTTTACGATTTGTTTAGTCTGTTCACGACTGTCTGATCCAGACCATGATTTTTACGATTTCCAACTCCTAGGTACGAAATCATACAGTTGTGTATTCAACTCTATGTAAGCTAGTCCAGAGCCGGCCTCGTAATGCGTGCATTAGAAATGTGTCGCTGGCATTCCGCTGTTTGTGCATTGAAGCTGCATGAGTAGCAGTAGAAACCCTTCACTCGTCAAAATTAACGCTATGATGAACAGGGGGCGAATAGGCACTATTGCACTTCAGTTGCAGTGTGATTGTGTATTTCCATGCATTGTACAGTACATGTACGTCAATATCGTTACATGCGTTATTGTCTTGAACGTCATGATCGTGCTAAATTGACGGAGGTGGAAGACTATCGAGGATTTGATTCTTGGATTTTGGATGAGCAACTGGACTTGTTTTGCACAGTGGCAACAAGTGAGCAGAACTTTAATGGATCCATGTATTCTTATAGTAAACAGAACTGATAAAAATGTATAAATGTATACATTTCATTTGTAAAAGTGATGTGATGTAAAAAATAAGAAACGTGACTGAAGTTGCAGCTTTGTTTCAATTTGTTTTTGTGTGTTTTGTTTTCAGCCATTGGCTGACAATCTGGAATCCCAAACCTATGAAATATTTGAGAAGGATCCAGTCAAATACACTAGCTACCAGAAGGCTGTATTTCAGGCACTCAAAGACAGGGTACCAGACAGTGAAAAGGACACCAAGATTTCGTAAGTGCTGGTGGTGTGAGATTCCAAATGTTGAACCTTCAAATATTTCTTTGATACCTACAAGAAAGCGTCACATTTTAGGCCATTCATTTAAAGACACTAGGTTCCAAATTTAATGCTCTATTCACAAACATGTCATAATACTTGTCCTCCGATTTGATATCCTTAATCATCCTGGGTTCTTCAGGATGATTCAAGTGCCTGAAATTGAAAAATAGAACCCCACTGCTAAAACGGAATGTGTTTCTTGAAAGCAAGCTCAAAAGTATGTGGCACTATACTCTTACTGTTTCATTTTTTTCCCTGTAGTGTAGTCATGGTGCTTGGGGCAGGCAGGGGACCTCTTGTCACTGCTTCTCTCAAAGCAGCTGAGCAAGCCGACAGAAAGATTGAAGTGTACGCTGTTGAGAAGAACCCCAACGCAGCTGTAACGTGAGTGTTGAATACATTTAGAAGGAGGTTCATGTTTCATCCTTCCTTAATCATCCTTTAATTTCATTCATCAGCTCTTGGCATGGTTTATGTTAGATTTTCACCTGTGATAGTTAGGAAGGTAGATACTTTGTCCCACCCCTTCCCTTTCACTGGCTAAAAAAGGAGAAGGCGATAACAAACTGTCATATATTTCATCATGAATATTTTACAAAGGAAGGTGCTGGGACTAGACCAGTCAGATTTCATTAACATTTGATCTACCGAATTCTCTCCAGACTGTTTACTCTGAAAGAGGAGAAATGGGGAGATAATGTGACCATAGTGCAAAGTGATATGAGAGATTGGGAGGCACCTGTCAAGGCAGATATCATTGTCAGTGAACTTCTTGGAGCATTTGGTGATAATGAGCTGTCCCCTGAATGTCTAGATGGAGCACAGCCATTTCTGAAAGGTAAGATGGTGGTTTATTGCTAGGATGCCTTGTGGGTAATTTGACAGGTCCTGATTTGACTCTTTGTTTCTTTGTCTTTGACTCTTTGTCACAAAAATATGCATCTGAACCCTCAGCTAGATTGAAATGTGCTGTGTACAGAATCAGCCACCAAATGGTTAACTTTGATGCAGGTGTAGCAGATTGGCACCTTTCTTATTCAAATGAAATTTTGATTTTGCTAAGGAAAATTGTGCCATTTCTCTCTGTTCAGTTTGAATGGTGTCAGTATTTTAATGAAAATCCTTGAATTTCTTTTTTTACAGAGGATTGTATAAGTATCCCTTGTACGTACACATCTCATCTAAGCCCAATCATGTCTCATAAACTCTACAATGAAGTCCGCCTGTGCAAGGATAAAGATAAGAACCAAGATGTAAGGAATCTGTCTTTCTGTTGCTGCGTGTTGTAAAGTTGATGGAATGGCATCAGTATTTACTTTGAGTGTACTGTCTGTCCTATTTCTTCACAGAAAGAGAAATGAAATCCTTGATGAATGAGAGAGTAACGTGTTAGTCTTCTGTATGATGAGAGGAATGCTCAGACTTTGCCATGCCTTTACCTGTTTGTGATGATATCAAAGTGATACATATCATTGTATTGCACCAGATCTCATAAATATCCAGTGGTGACAGGGAGAGTGTTCCGCATTGGTCAAGTTTGGTATATCCTCTGGTTCTCCCTCAGGCCCACTTTGAGACTCCTTATGTCGTCCATCTCCACAATGTCACCCGTCTGGCTCCTTCTGTACCTCTCTTTACCTTCACCCACCCCAATAAGAACAGTTTGGACAATACACGCTACAAATCAGTCGGCTTCATCATGGAGGACGACGCAGAAGTGCATGGCTTTGCTGGATATTTTGATACAGTACTCTACAAAGATATCATCTTGAGTAAGTGTTTTCATTGGCCATGGAAGAGGGTTTGAAAAGGTGCATGCTCATGCACTGTGCAGGTTTTTGAGCTGTGTTCTGATTCTCCAAATCATGGAACATTTGTCTGAAATTTCTGATATTACAAGACTTATGATTTTTAAATGTGTCCGTCATCATGTGAATGCCTGAAAGTATTTTCCCTCTAACTCTATATCATGAAACTGGCCTGAAAAGTTGCTTAGGTGTGCAAATTTAAAAGAGAGATTGGAGATGGATGATCATGTGAAACTAATAAAGGAAATGAACCTTTCATTTTGTTTTGAAAGGAATGATCAATACAAACAGACCCCAATAACTTGCTGATTTAAAAAAATGCATTAATTATGGAACTTCACAATTTTTCCTACTTTCCTACTTATTTAACAGGAATCTTATATTAGTGTTATTTGTTTATCAATAGGTACCAACCCTAAGACATTCTCTGAAGGAATGTTCAGCTGGTTCTCAATATTTTTCCCCTTGAAGGTATGTGTGTATGATAACATGGAGATCTGTTTGATATTTTAACAATTGTTGATTGCTGTATGTGTGATATGATATTTTGAAAACCGAAGGACTCAGTGCCCAACACTAAATGCCAAGTAATACTTACTGCTAAGGCAAAGCTGAAGGTGCTATTAGTCCCTCAGGCTTTCCAAATGTCACATCCCATCTCACAGTAGTCAACAGTTGTTTTGTTATGTCTTCAACTTGATTTTTTAGCTTATATTTCAGAGGGAAATTAAGGGTGACAAAAGAATCTTTTAAGCTTAGCTGCATATCCCTGCATATTCTTGTTTAACACTGCAGGGGTGAGTGCAAACACTCGCTAATATGTCTAACGGCGACCGTGACGTGGTTATCTTGTCCTGTCACACAATCATTCTGGGCCGGTAAAACACAATAGTAAAGACAAATTGTGCTTGTTTCTTCTGGAATAAGAATATGAAACATCAATGCTAGCATTGATGCTGTTCTGATATGAAGCGGTTCTAAAACAGTAGCAGGTGTCGACTTACAGCACACAAGGACAGGAATATAAGTGGATTCATCTCTAGATTTACAGCCAAGGAATTCCAGTGCTAATTTTGACTTGTTTTTTCTATTCAGGAACCTGTCCATGTGACTGCCAAGTCGGAATTAGTGGTTCATTTTTGGCGTAACTCAACTCCACGAAATGTTTGGTATGAGTGGTGTGTATCTGAGCCAGTCACCATGCCTATACACAACATCAATGGACGGTCCTACACCATTGGCATGTAATAAGAGGTTTTTCATCTGCCAGGTTAGAAACACGAGGCCAGTTTGTGTAAATGTACAACATATGTGAAATTGTTGCAAGGTGATATTGCTGATTGTACTTCTCATGTCTATGTGTTGTAATGGTTAAATAAAGATCTACAAAATATTGCAAAAACTCGTTTTAACATGCTGAGCTACATTCCCTTAAAAGTTGAGTAAAAAATATATGCCTCACATACTCAAGTCGGATTGGGCTTTGTTGCTTCTGAAAAAGTTTGGTCTTTGGATAAACATGTATGGCTAAGGCCTATGGGCTGGCAAGACTGTGTGTAAATCATAAACAGAGGCATGGTCAAGGCCTATGGGCTGGCAAGACTGTGTGTAAATCATAAACAGAGGCATGGTTAAGGCCTATGGGCTGGCAAGACTGTGTGTAAATCATAAACAGAGGTATGGCGAAGGCCTATTAGTCTGGTTCCCTGCTCAAAGATTCCCTGGTAAGTCTTGATAAAAAATCTTAGGCCAGGCATCACCTACATGTATAAATAGATATGATGCAAGGGTCAGGGGTCACAAGTTGAAAGCCCGGGTGTTTTCGATTTCATCAGTGGCAACATCGTAATAATGGGGCTTTTCCCATATCCAGTGGGCAATACTGCAAGTGTATCCCCACTGAGAGCATGTTTCAGGCACAAAACCTGCATTGGTTGAAGAAAGTTATATTCTGCATTTCACCTGGCATTTCGGTCAAGGCGCCTTCAATTTCAGTGGAAAGTCAAATTTTGTAGGATCAACAGCTGCCATTCAGTTGTGGCAGTTTACGTTCAACAGCTAGCCTACCTACCTTGCTGGGAATAACTTAACATCAATGGTACCATCGGAACTTGCCAAATATAGACGGAACGACTTCGGAATATTTCAGCTATTTTCAGAAAACTGGAGAAACTCCTCCAGTCTTGGTCATGTGGACATTGGCTGATACCTGACCCTTGATTCTTAGAGTAGTCAGAATCATTGGGTCTGGTATCCAGACTAAAGGCCTATGGGTTGGCAAAACAGTATGTATATCAGTTATGAAAGTTGGATTGTCCACATTGGGTATTGAAGCCTCTGATACTGTGGAGGATTGAGCCCCATATACATTGACTAGGGCTGTGTCCAAGACAGGCTTGCAGAGCTATGGCTACGGCTATTGTCAGCGCATCTGTGTGTATTTCTAATGGAGTGAAGACCTAGACCTAGCTCTAGACAACAAATTCAGATGCAGCCTTGGCTTGGGTTAGTGATTGAATCATGCATGATGTAGCAAATCGACCAGACTTGAAATACAAAACTTACTCTTGATAAATTATCATAACAAAGGAATTGTTCGTTCAAATTAGCCAGATATGCATGTTTGTGTGATGTACTGAACAAGATTTGTCATTCTACTCACTATTCTTCCAATAACTAAAAGATATGCATAGTGTATTATTGTATAACCAACTAAAATTTCTTTCTCTTAATGTCATGTCAGATGTACAAGGTTTTCACCTTAAATCCTGGTTATGCATCAACGGTACATATTTCAAATAGTAAGTAATGTCAGGATTACTGTGTGCATTATTGTAATCCTCCAGCACTCAACTTCGAATCATTGACTTTACAAAGGAGTGATAGATATGTCTAGGTGATATATCTGTGGATTCGATGGGTGGCACATTATATGCATCTACTGATTTGCATTAACATGGGCACAAAATAGCACAAGTGTCTTGGTATGAGAGGACAAGTGTCTTGGTATGAGAGGACAAGTGTCTTGGTATGAGAGGAGTGCACTTGTGAGAGAACATGTTCTGAATATGGCAATTGTGACTCTAACCCTAAAAGAGCCAAGTGGTGGTGGTGGGCGTGGCAGAATCTGTCCCCCCCCCATATTTTTTTCCGATATCATCACAGTGCATTTTCTTCTGGAGTTCGAGTTAGGAGTTTTTAGAGTAACACTTTGAAATCATTTCAACATTATTTTGCAAAAATCGAATGTACCATTTTAGTGGAACACTCTCCCAAGACAGGTCAGCCAAAAATGTGCATGTGCACTGGTGCACATGCGTGTAGCCATGAACTTTAAATGACAGTAACTACAAAACCATGTCTGTTGTGAGTTCAAACTTCACATTTGTAGTGATAAGGAGTGTCTGTACATAAATGCCAAGTTTGAAAAAAAAATTGGCCTGGCACAGCTGAGTTGTTGGGGGTGGGAGCCCCCTGGGTGTGAGATGGGGAGAAATAACCTGGCTGTTTTAGGGTTAAATGACAGACATACTTTGCATGTTTTGGACAGGGATGTGATTGGGTGCTCAGTCCGTGATCACAAGACCTGGTATACACATTCTCCGTATATGTACCTGTATAGCTACTTACCTCAGTGATATTAATTATAGGACTGTAGACAGGTGTGATTCAGTAACCATTTTTCTACCAAATAACTCTTATTCATGGTCCTCTTGTGCTTGAACATTGCTCATCGTGTACCTATCAATGAAGCTATTTTAACAGATACCTCATGGCCTCAAAGTATTTGATGTGAAAGAAGTGTTTAAATTCATTGAAATATCAATCGAAAAATTCTGAAATTTGCTGGATGCTGTAAATTTGATAAGGAATTGGGGCATGAGCACCCGCATCATTTATTTACTTCCCCTTTTCACTATTGATTGTAATTTGTTGCGAGGTCGTATCGACAGGAAGTAGCTGTTTTTTGTGTACTGCACAAAAAAATTAATTTGTTGTTGTCTTATGTGTCTCCATTCTTGTGTTTAAACCAAGCTATCACTAAGTCTGTTTCGCATTTACAAGCAGCATATGATGAGGATGTTTGCAGGTATCTGACTTGCTTATTAACTGTATTTGCCAATTTACAAAGAAGTGTTCAAAGAGTTGAGTAAAGCTGTCAAAAAAATTGTATGACAAGCATGCATTATCCTTAAAGGGGCAATAGTATTTATACCTCCCGGCAGGGGTCTCCTCGGATTTTTGAATCTGAACATGCCACATGCCTTATAAAATATCCATGATGAGTACACCTGTGAAAAAAAATTGATACAACAGAAAATTTTGTTTTAATCCATTTTTCACAACCGTGATCAGTGAGAAAAATTACAGTGACTGCAAGACAGGAGGATTCTGCCTCAGCTCTTAGGTTTTATAAGATTCCCTGTTTTTCTGAACTTGGTGTTCTGTACAGCGACAACCTCAAAATATGAGGCAACAATTCAAGCCATTTCAAGATATGTGTAGATTTACCAGTTTGGGTTGAATGTATTATGATTTTTAAAATCCATGATAATACATTTAGCACTTTCGGAAATATTTTGTCATGTTAAAATGATTTCCCGAACCCAGGAGATTTAACAAACGAACAAACAACCAAACAAACACCCCAACCCAACAGACAAAAACAAGCAAACAGCCCAACAAACAACCCAACACCCCCAACAAACAAACAACAAACAAACTGTTTTTAATACTCCAGACATTGTTGTGAATTGTAAAAGTATCTCCTGCTATGTATGGGAAGCATGAGATAGAAATGTGCATTGCAAAGGAAGAGTTCATTCTGCTTAACTCGAACTAGTTGATAAAATGTTATCACATACACTGTACATGTATGTGTATTAAAGTTATGACACTATCGACGAAGGAAGATTCTTATTACTTCCGACTTTGTACATGTTTACTTTGCTGATTTCATACTTGTAACAAAGTCATTTTCACCCCAAACCGCATAGCATTTTTTCTTTCTTGTGAAGTTTCTTAAAGTGGTCGCCTTTGATCACTTACATGTACGTAAGAAGATTCCTGTTCTAAAGTAATCCATACACGCCGTAAATATTTACCCTGCAGTTGTGCCTACTTTGTACGTGTTGGAGGCCCTTAATTAACTCTGATTATTCGTCTTGGAGGTTTATTTAAAATCCGCGGCATTTTTTCACAAATATCATTATTAGGCCCCCCCCAAAAAAAGAAAAATAAACATCCAACAAGTTTTAAAGTTGAGATGTTATTACGCAGGGATCAATGCATCATTTTCTGTTTTATTACGCGTTTATTTTGCACAATTTAGTTCATACTTTCTTTCCTTATACATGTTGGGTGCATTCATTGTACAGCGTCATTATCTTTACTGTTTTAAATTAGCTTGCTTAACCATTCATCAATTCTAATAATCTGCGGGGAAAAGTCGCCGTTAATGATTTTAACCGAGTTAAATTCGGAAATACTTAGTATTGTGTATGACTCCCAGAGTTTGATATTCCACATTTCCAGATCTTTGAGATGACATTAACTGTGCGCACATTTGGCAGATGGAAATCTGTAGTACTTCCAACTCGGGATTAATTTTACACCCGCCCCCCTTGAAAAACTACATATTTTAATGTAGAGATCTTTCCAATATTTGCCTTTTCCCCAATTTAAACGAATCGAATTGGTGGTGGCAGCGCAATGGGCATTGTGACTTTGATGTGTGTAAATTCTATTCCGTTAAAGCGACTACAGTTAGGTCTACTTGAACTTCGTTTCCTGCGTAAAGATCTTAGCCCGTACAATCACAAGGTTGGAAAGTGAATTCCCAACATGCCGGTAACCTTATCATGTCATAACTGCTAAGTGTTAAGTTAGCCTACAACTTTGCTTTGTAGAATCCACGAGCGGGAACGAACCTTGTAGACCACACGACATATTGCGCAAAGAGCTTCGTGCTTCGGAGCACTTTTCGCTGGCCGTTAACACAGATCTTTGTGACTACATGCATCCAGTTAGGAGCTTGTAACGGGGGACATCGACGTGGGACACAGCTACATTGCGCAAGCACATCCAACGAGAGTGGAATACAAGTATACAGACAATAAAACCTCTCAGGTTGTATCAGGGTTGTATTTAGGCCGAGTTGTCCTACAAAGAATTTTGTCCTTATATATTTCTTTCAAACGCTCCTTGAGTTAGCATTGTTTACATCTCTGTAATTTGATACCAGATATCTTATTCTGCATGCATAAAAACACATTACTTGCGGACACTCAGTGCTTAATATTACATTATTTTGCCTTTTTCCACGTTTCTAATTGGCAAACTTCAACACAAACGTGCACAGAATCTGTTACAGTGGCATATGAACTACAGAAGACTACTTTTCTATTACCATTTAATAGAATATATACATTCTAAAGAAACTCTGTAATTCTATGCACCACGACTTCTCAACTTTCATATTGCATTGCATGAATTAATAAATACATCGCATAAGGGTCCTCGTTATTTTTAATATCATTTCCCACTATAAAACTATAGTATTTAGATTTCTCTTTCTACATCTCAATATACAGATAAAACTACAATATAAGACCTATACTCATTTAATTTTGATAGTCAGTATATGAAAACCAAAATTTTGTAGATTGTGATGTTGGTGGATTGCGTTATAAAACGGGTCAGTAAACACAAATAGCAACTGCGCATGACCGCGCATTTGGTATGTCGGAAGAGCCCGTAGTGTCTGTGAGACGAGTGAACCCTTTGGGCGTTTTATACGAAAAGCAACTCCGAGCAAGGCTATCCACAAAAGACGGCATCTTGTGATTGATGTCCGTGTAAGTATCGAACCCCAAGATATGTTGGACAATCTGCTGTCATGTGCACTGGTTTGTATACGCATCTAATGTACAATTCACGCATGGATTCATGCAAGCACCAACATTACAGTGACCTGTAGGCCTAGGTCTACATTTTAAAATGGTTACTGTGATTGAATTCATGGAAGTTATGATAGATATCAAGGTTTGTGGAAGGCATTGTGATAAGGCCAAAGTAAATCATGTCGTCAGTATCGTGCGTCTTTAATTCCTGCGTTTGTTCATATCCACTAATGCAAGGCCATATGCGAGTGGAATTACTATCAGGGAAGGTGGCCGCTCATGGAATTGTCATAAAGTTTCGTCTAATTTCATTGTCTCTGGACCCGACAAATTTTGAAACCGAACCGTCTGTGTCCTAATATATTATTCCTCAGAAAAATATCCTTCATATTGAAGGCTTATGTTTCCTGTCTATAAGAGTAGCTGTGTTTGTATCACGATTTTGTATCCCACAGCTGCCACCAATACAGCAAACGGATGGACACTGTATCTTTCTGAGATATATTTCTAGTTCATAACCAGTAATCTGTACATCAACCGTCAAGTTTAATGAACTTAGTTGAAGAGTCAGTGGTTTCTTTTTGAATTATTTTCTGCCTGAATCTAGACCTGTCTCATTTTCTGTAAGTTGAACTCTTTACAAATCGAAATTATTGTCTCAGGTGCATTTTGTCCAAAGCCAAATTTAGTCTACGGTGTACATGTACCTGGAAAGTTGGAAACCTAGGTTTATTTACAGACATTTACCACATCAATAAACAAAATCAGAAAGCAACCATTATAATACCATTACGATAAACCATTTATGCTTAAAACTCATCATTCCTCGTCAAAATCTCAAAAAGATAGTTCAATAATAAATAAATCTGCTTACCGATCTAATCACACCCAGTATGTCAATATCTAAGTCCATGTAATGTTTACAAGATAGTGAAAGTCAGACTCGACTCCGAACTCAGGTTCATTTTTACATCATGGCATTGGCCGCTGTGTTTTGCCAAGACAAGGGCAGATTTCAAAAAGTAATAACTTGCCGGCTTTGTCCACTGCTTGATTGTCTCCTTTTTTATCCTTTCACGTTTCTTTTCCATTGTGACGAAAAACATTACAAACAAGACATTTCATTTATTAGTCAGTTTTTATGCTCAAAATCATGCATTTGCCGATTTTTGACATAATGCTTTATGCGCTGGGCGTACTAATGGTTTTGCTTTGAACAGAGCAATATTATCGATATGCTAGCGAGGTTTCATGATTTTCCTTGCTTCGTTTGGTTGAAATCGTAGGAATCGCAAGGTTTGGTCATAATTGAGCCGGGTGTCTTTTCTCAAAGTTTACTTTGGTGTGTCTGGTTCCTTGACGTCGTCTGTGCTGCTAGCTTCTGAAGCAGCTGTCTCAGTTACAGTCACAGGCTAAAGTGTGAGGGAGAAGACGAGGAAATTAAAGAACGAATTGATAAACGAATAGTACGAGACCAAGACAATGAGTTTGCTTAAAATTTAGCGACACATTATGAATTATACCTACACCAGTTACTATTCAAACACGGGTGATGGATTCCTATAGTGGGTGCTAGTAGGTGGAGTCAGGTGGAGACTTGGAAGATGACAGGTGAATCGACGCAATGGAAAATCAGTGATCATGTAAGAGTGCAATGCCACTCATGCTAAATGCCACTCCCGTGACTTTAGACCAAACAGTGACAAATTGATTTGATAAGCATTTGTCCTAATTGCATGGTCGTTGTTTTCCCCAAGCAAATGTGATATAAGTTTTATCGTTATTTTCCCTGACCAGCATTCAGAGAAAAACCACACTCCCAACCACCCCTCGAAATTGTAATGAAGTACATTCCTAATCTTAAACGTTTATTATGACGTTTGAACATGCAAAGTCGATGCACGCAATTTAGGCTGCACGGAACATTTTGTTTAGAACACGACGAAAAGCAGACAAACAGGACAAAGTTGAAGGTGAGCTTACGGGTTGCCAAACAGATGCGGAGACGAACAAACGAATATAGTCCAAAACTGGATTGCTTACAGAACGAAATTGATACGTGAGAAGTTGGATGATGTTGCAATGGACGTGATATAATGTGCATTGTAAACAGACACAATATCTTACAGTGACTTATGGAGTGGGCTGAGGGGAGAAAATAGAAATTGAAACATTTTCAACCAAAACTGAACATTTCGACCAAATAAAACACAAGTTTAGAACATGTTTTCCATGAGTGAAGATTTCATGTTTTAAAACTTGTTTTAATTGGATTAATTTTATATTTACTTGCACCAAAAGAAATGTGATTTCTCTGTATTAATTAATAAGTATGCAACACAAAATAATGTTAATATGGGGCACTCTGCCGACAGAAAGTTCAGTGAGGGTGCCACATAATTTCATCTACATTATTTCTCTTCAAACAAAACAAAAATAAAACAGAATGCAAACCTTTGGCTTTGGCTCTTGTTCGGGTATGATGAGTATTTTTCCAATATTCTTGCGATCGTGCATCTTCAGCATTGCCTCACCAACCTGAGTATTAATGAACACTACCTCATAAAAAGGAAGCATAATATGTGGTCTGTGAACCTAACTCGTCAAAGCAAATTTGGATAACAAGCCATTATAAAGAAATTTGAGCTAAAGGGATCGGATATACAGGAGTGAAAAAAATGAGTCAAACACACTTCACCGAGATTAATAGGAAGATAAAACCAAGACGTGTTCGCGCTATAGACCCTACCTCCTCGAAGGCGTACGTAGAATCGATGACCGGGTTGAGTATATTGACGGTGTGCAGCTTGAAAATCTCATTCATAACTATGTTCACCCTTTCCTCACCGCCTTGGTTGAAGAGGTAATGGTAAAATTGGAAGCCAGACATCGACTTATTCTCGTCCCAAAGTTTTCCTGGCTTGACGCTATCCACATTCCACCACTAGAGATACGCGGAGAAAATGTGTGAGTAAAACAGTTCGGAACCAACGAGCTTACAAGCATTGCTGTGTAGTCAGAAGTGGCACGGCCTGAAATATCTTTGTAGAGACGGTCTGCGGTTTTAAACTTCCCTTTTCAATGGATGAATAGTTGAAACATCTCAATTTGCCTCACTTGTAAAAAAATGCTTGGAAAGTGTTGTTAGCCTCACTGAAAAGTTAAGTTACTTCCCCCCCAAAATACACATGTCCAATGTTTGAAAACAAATTGTCTTTTTATTTGAACTTCAAATATTTCTCTGTGCTTTGTTACTAATGAGCAAAATGGCAATTTGTCAAATGCCAGGGATATAGAAAGAGAACTCACTGTTCTTGCGTAGCTGAAAAAACTCCTTGTTTCGCCCGTGACCACATTGGCGATTCCTACAGAGGTCAAAAGCAAAACATACTAAAGAAGTTGTCATATCCTAAGATGACGTCACAGCCCCATCCTGTAGCCCCTTTTAACAGTGTCAGTGCTATTAACTTTTCCCTATCCTGAACCCACATAAGTTTGAGCATTATTTCTTTTAAAATGATCATAAATGACTTTGGACGTACTAATTTTCGCAACATCACTATTTTTTCGTTAAGGACACACCAAAACATTAAATCACGCACAGCGGTCTGAAAACATGCGCTAATTACATCATAATTTATCCCATTAGGCTGAAAACTTTCGTAGAATTATCATTTTTGTACGATTTGACTAAATTTTGTCGCAACTTAGCTGAGACCAGACGCGGAAAGGAGTCCAAACCAGTTTTGAGAGCCGGTCGAGAAAAACGATTATTTGAAGAAGGTGAGAAACTCTTCGAGAATCGAATTAAGAGTAAGGCAGCTAAAGAAACTAGGTTCAGTCCATATACTTTCAACGGCTAGCCTACATACAGCGAGCAATGTTGTGAATCTGCTTCGGCACCATCGGGCAAAACACACTTGATCTATGCCACGGTACACATCTGTGCCACATGCAAATTGTTTATTAGATTTTTTGTTTGCTTTAAAGAGAAATATAGGCAATAATGAGTATAAAAGTAGTGTTAATTTTTTATGTGATAATTTTACAAGAAACTAAACTGTATCTGTAAAGTGTCTCTCACGCGCACTCTATCCACCGTCGGAAGAAACAAAACAAGCCAACTTAAAAACCCGAAAAACAGCTTCATATGCAACTATTGGGGGCGCTATATACTGCCAAGTTTCGTCAGCTGCGCAGCTAGCTAGCTAACTGTTTACATGTAAATTGCTTGCTGTGAACCGAAAGCGCTCTCGGAGCATGTAAGTAAGTTGCAACATAGAATCATTATCCCCTTTCGAAATGCGGGGGTTAAATAAGATCTGGTTTTATTAGCCTTCTTGACTTTGGGGTAAGGCCTACATGTAAGTTAGGCCTATTCTAACACCATGACTCATGAGTCATAGTCACGATGCATATGTAAATTGGATGCAGTCATTGCGCAGTTGCACCATATTCGTGATAATCGAGTTTTTCGGGGTCAAGTACATGTAAAGCACTCTCTTATCTTGCAACTTGCTGGTTATATTTATGTATCATTTTGAGTGTGACCTGCACATGTACACGTACATAGTATACACAAAAGCTACATGTTGATACACTGTTGACCTACATGTATGCCCAGGCCTATTTGTACGGTAAATCATTTTTGTAGACTTGCCCTGTACCAGAACATTGGAGAAACAGGCCTGTCAGTATAGAAAGTCTCTTTTGGGGAGAATTTCATCTGTAAAAAGCTGAAAGTAAACATGTTAAAAAGAGCCATTAGGCCTACATCTCTGTTTGCAGGGATAAACTTAGTCCAAATAATGTTACATTGTCATGATTATTTTTAGTCCTGAATAATGTCAATCATTCAGGATCATGCTCTCATGATTACGGTTGCCCTACATGTAGTTTGACAGGAAGTTTTTTCAAGTACTGTAGAATATTGCAATATATAATTGTTTCAAACATGTTTAAGTTCAAATGTTGAAAGATCTGGGAGATAGAGGGCTTCACCATGATTTGACTGTTTTTGAGGAGGGTCAGCCCTTTATTACATGTATATGTGTGCCAAGATTATGTATTGCTATGATTCCCCTACATGTACACTTTGAAGTGAAAAAATGAAAAAAAAAATTACCAAATGTACACTATCACACGGTCCATGTTTTCTCAGACTTACCATACAGAACATATTTTCCCATAGGTTTTAGCAGATCGTAGCCTTTGTTTGTATCCTCACCACACAGACAGTCTAGCACAATATCAATTCCCTTTGGCTCAAGTCTGTGTAAGAAATTGTTTGAATAACTTGTCACAAAAATATCAACAAGATCTTGATGTTCAAATGTGAATATCAAGAGGTGTCTGGTGCATGAGTTTTGTGGAAGTTCAGACAACCGGCAGATTTTTCTGTTTTTTAATTCAATGAAGGCAATTGGGTCATTGCTGATTAGTGCCAATAAGCATCAACAAACAGACATAACATCTTGAAAATACAATGTACAGCTTTATAAGTAGCAGCATCACATGAAGACGACTTTCATGTCCTGTGAAAAAAGGAAAAGAATGAAATAACATCCAGATTCTCACAGAATAATGAAAACGTTTCACAAGGTGAAGACGTCAGCTTCTTTTTTTTCCTTATCGGCCATGCTGCAACAAGATGGCAGCCTGTCACACTGTATGAGTGACACCATCATCTTACTACATGTACTTGACTCAGGTTGTACATGAAGAGTAAAAACTTACTTTTTGATTGCTTCTACATAGTCACATGCTGAACGATCAAAGAGATGGTCAAATTTGTCTTTGATGACTTCATGTTTGCCTGTGGATGCTGTTCCAAAGATTTTGATCTCATCTACCATCTTGCAGAGCTGAGCTACAGCAATGCCCTATGACACAAGCAGCCAAACAGGTAAACAAAATAGGAATGAAAAAAATAAATGTCAAGATGTTTCCAGGTCTCTGGCCTTAATATTCCTACTGATCTAGCTGAAAGCTCCTAAGAGTTGCATGCATAGAAACCAAAATTAAGATTTGGTATTACATTTTAAGTCAAGTAGTCAGGTGGAAGATCTCCCATGATAGAGGACTCAAAAGTGTCCTTAGTATTAAATGTCACCTGCACATACATCTACATGTATGTACATGTATGCCACACACCGTGTGTATTATTCCTTTGGGGGGGGATAGAGTGGCCGTCACTTGAATCACCGAAGAATTCTGTTTATTTACAGATGCATGTACTCACCACTCCACCACCAGCTGAGTGTACCAACACTGTCTTTCCCTTAGTCAAGTTAGCCACCTCATACAACATCATGTAAGCTGCTGCATAGCACACACCCAAAGCAGCCCCCTCTTCATACGTCATCTTGTTAGGCATCTCATAGACATACTTAGCAGGTACTGCGATGGCCTCAGCAAAAGTACCACTGCGTTGGAAAGCAACAACCCGATCTCCAACCTTGGATAATATTGACAAGGTTGGTTGCAATGATATACTTTTTCATTTTTGGTATGATTCCCTCTATTCATTTATACATGGTTCGTCAAACACCAACAGGATATTTGTCCAATGAAACAAAATCAACAATTTTCTGACTGGATTATGCAAACTACCGTGGTGAAGTACATGTACCTGTAAGTTCAAAATCAAAAGGTCAACAGAAAGTAAGCAACAGTCCTGAGATTTTGACAAGTGCTATTCTTTCCATAGTACATACAGTGTAGTATAGGAATTTATGTCAGGAATTTTGGACGTGACTGCTGATCAAAGTTCACTGTGCAAATCAACAACTTGTCTTCCCAGTCTTCTTGTATGAGACAACATTTGTGCAGGTGCACAGATTGTTGTGATGCATGGTACTGTGAATTTCATCAATCCTTCATAACAACACATCACAAGCATTAGGGTGGCGTGATACATTTACTGTATTCACTGGGATCATGTGACACATGTTTTTCAGTTGAGATTTCCTTTTTTCTGTCTAGTCAGCAAGAAGAACTAAATGTAAATGAGCTAATATTGAGCCCCATCTGTTGTCCAAGACATTTTTATTTGCAATTTTTTTTAAACCCTATTGACATACGAGAGGGTTTCTGAAGATGCTTTAACTTTGCAAGTTCATGTAGCTACTCATGCAATGTTGCTGGAAACTTTCATGAATTTGCTTAAATCTTTCCTAAAATTGGAACATTCTCTTTCAAGGGGTACCTTACTTGTTGTTGAAAAATAGGATCAGGCAGGCTTGACCTTCCTCAACTCTCAAAATCCTACAGGACTTCCTGGTAGATTTTTCAGGATCTGGGAATGTAGCACTTTAATATCTGTAGTTTTTTGCCATCTGAACTTTCTGACCCCCCCTTCCCTTCTAAGATTTGTAAGGGAGAATTGTTTGTATGGATCCTTCTTCACTCAACTGTAAATGCCTGTGAACAAAATGAGTAAAGAAAGACTACACAGAGTCTAAGAAACAGCTTTAAAATCAAGAATACAAACCCAAAACAAGAATATTATTTGCCAGCTTACCTTGAAGTTTTCCACACCTGTTCCCAAGGCTTCAATGTACCCTGAACACTCTGTACCCAGGATGAAAGGTGTTCGAGGGCAATCATCCACAGAACCCTGTCGCATCATCAGATCTAGGAAGTTAAGACCACTGGAATTAAACCATAAACAGATGAATAAGGACAGTCAAAAAGAAAACAAAAATCATGACCCACAATAAAACAAAACAAAAGGAAATGCTTCAGGCATATTTACATGTAGTTTGTACAGTCAGTGCAAGATATGCAAAAGCTTCGATAGCCTTTTTGTGAGTCCAAATTACAGCAGGTCAGTTCTCTGTGAGTGCACTTTTTCAAGTGATAGAATTGAGTCCAACTT